TGGGGCCAGGGCTGGGGCTGCGCTGGGGCTGGGGCTGCGGCTGCACTGGGGCCAGGGCTGGGGCTGCACTGGGGCTGGGGCTGCGCTGGGGCTGGGGCTTCGCCGGGCACTCACCGTCTTCATGCCCACGATGGACTTCTCCACCTTGGTCACGTACGTGACGTGGTCCTCATTGGACTTGAGCTCCCTCTGCTGCACGCGCTCGTAGATGCCCACCACCAGCTCCCGGGGGATGTCGGCGCCATCGTCCACACCTGCCAGCGGGGGGGGGGGGGTGAGAGCCCCAGGCCGGCCTGCTCCCCAATCCCACAAAATCCAGCACAGTGCCGGGGCACTCCCTGCCTCAGGTTCTGGAAAGCTCTCTGCCCGCCCCTCAGGGCTCTTTCCCACCGCCGAGGACGTAAAGAATCCTGCTCACCCTCCCTTCAGCCACCCCCTTGTCTTCCCTGTGTTTGCCTCGACCTCTCCTTCCGCCTGCCCCGGCGACCATCTTTCCAATGTTCAATCTCATTCTCTTTAGAATCACCCTCCCCCCCCCCAGCTGTCCAAAGTAGAGACTTTGGTGGTATTGAGCAGTCTTGTTGAGATGTCACCGGTGAGGTGTTTTTTCCCTCCCTAAGAACCCAGGGTGGGCTTGGGGAGGGGGGGGCTGGACAGGAAGCAGAGGTAATCGGCTGGGCCTCTCTAGGAAGAGAAGGCTCTAGTCATGTTAACACAGTAATAGGAAAGTACAAACAGGAAAACCTGGCATGGTAGTGCGTGCCTGTAATCCCGGCACTCCAGAGCCTAGAGCAGAGACCGGCAGCACTGGACTGAAGGCGCTCAGCCCTGGCATGGGCAGGCGCCGGCCAGGCTCTGGGCCTGAAGGCCACGCAGTACGGGTCAGCGCAGAGGCCCACCCGGGTCTCGCGATACCTGGGAAGCCAGCCATCTTCCCAGGGCCCCCTCCCCCTCCCTTGGCCCCTGCCTCACCCCTGAGGTTCCGGATGAAGTCCTCCAGCATCATCTTGCGGTCCGGCTTGATGTTGGGGCTGTACATGTCGGTGTTGAGGAGGATGATGGCGAAGGCCAGGATGAAGATGGTGTCGGGGTTGTGGAACTGCTGTACCACCTCGGGGTTGCACATGCAGTAGCGCTGGCTGGGGGGGAGGGGAGGAGGGGGGCGCAAGGCAGGGCCGTGAGTCTCCCTCCACCCCGGTTCCAGCAAGGGGGGTTGGGGAGGGGCTGACGCCGCTCCCCGAGGGAGGTCACTGGCTGCCGTGTGTGTGTGTGTGTGTGTGTGTGTGTGTGCACGCGCGCGCGCGCGCGCGTGCACATGTGTTGGTCCTTGGACTTGAACTCAGGGCCCTGGGTGCTATCCCTGATCTTTTTCACTCAAAGCTGGCGCTCTGCTGCTCGAGCCACAGCGCCACTTCTGGCTTTTTGCGGGTTCCTTGGAGATCAGAGTCTCACAGACGTTCCTGCCCTGGCTGGCTTTGACCCGCGATCCTCTAGATCTCAGCGGAGTGTGGAGGGGCGGGGGGGGGGGGGGGGGGGGGACAGGGACGGGGGTCACCTGAAGGCCTCGATGAGCCGCTCCACCTTCTGCGCCTCGCCCTGCACGCGGATGTGGGCCTGGAACTTGCGCAGCGCCTCGTCCAGCTCCACGCCAGAGAAGTCCATCTCGTCCACCACGCAGCTGAGGGCGGCAGAGGGGGGCGTGAGGGCAGGGGAGGAGGCCCCCCAGCCCCCTCCCCCGGGTCCACCCCAGACAGGGCTCCGCCCCGCCCGCCCTCCCCCCTCCCCCCCCCGCCGCGGGTCCTCCCTCCAGCCTTTCCCCGTGCTCCTCCTGGCCCACGCCTCCCCCACAAACAGTGGCGGTGGGCTGGAGGCCAGGGCTGGGGGGGCAGGGGAGGGAGGGCCGCAGCAGCTGGGCGGGGGATCTATCCAGCCGGAGCCGTGGCCTAGTTTCCAGCGTGGGCTCAGGTGGAAGATGGGGAACCCGCCGCCCCCCCTCCCTCCACAGCTCCCTACCCACACTCAGCTGGGTGGAAATGCTGCTGCGGCGGATCAGGGAGCTCAGGAGGGGTCACGGGGTGCCCCTGAGCCAGGACGCCCCCCCATGTGTGCTCTGAGACCCCCCCCACGCTGTCCTCTGGCGGGGTGTTCACACTGTATTTAGCATATTTGGAGGTAGCCTGGGAAGCTGCATTCCTCACCAGCTTTCTGCTAACCAACGGCTGGGCGGGACAGGGCCCAGGGGAAGTCTGGGTCATCGTCTTTTGTTGGTGGGAGGAATGGTTGGTCCTGGGGCTTGAACTCGGGGCCTGCGCGCTGTTCCTGAGCTGCTGTGCTCAAGGTGAACGCTCTACCACTCAAGCCACAGCGCCGCTTCTTTGCCTCTGGTGGTTCAGTAGAGACAAGAGTCTCACAGACTTTCCTGCCCGGGCTGGCTTTGAACTGCGATCCTCAGCTCTCAGCCTCCTGAGAAGCTGGGATGGCAGGCGGGAGCTACGGGTGCCTTTTGTGCTTTTTGAAGTGTGTAGCAACGTAATCGGGAGCCCAGGGAACAGAAGCAGAGCCCGCTACCTCTTCCTCACCGGGAATGCTGGGGGGGAGCGGGGAGGGGGAGCTGCACCCGCAGCTGAGACGGTGCATTGTAGGAGCATTCTGGAATGAGCCGGCTGGGCGGCGGCATGTAGAGGAAATGGATTTCGCCATCTCAGGCTTTTCCCACACAGCAGCCAGTGCTTCGGGCAAACACTGTGGGGAACCCAACGGGGGGGGGGGCTGTGGGGAACCCGGGGGGGGGGCTGGAGTGTAGGGGGAGGGGAGGAGCATCTGTTTCCTTGGGAGGGGCCAGCAGGAACCCCCCTTTTATCCAGCGCTTCTGGGCTCACACGGCTTAATTAAAGCCCTCCCCTCCCGCGGCCGGCAGGGGGTTATTTCTGGCGGTGCAAACGCATCACGGATCCGGCAAAGCTCTTGAGAACCCCTGCTGCACCCCTGCACCCCTGCGCCCTCTCATTCGCCTCCCTCCCCACAGCTCAGCCCCTCCACCAAGCTCCTGAGGCCATGCTTTAAGAAGCAGCGGGGGGGGGGCGGGCAGGGGGCTGCAGACAAGTGGTGGCCCCCAGAAAACACCAGGGGTGTCGAGGCCTGGGGGGGCATCAGCCCTGGGGTGTCAGTCTAGCGGCTCTGGCCCCCTCTGGGCCGGCCGGGCCAAGGGTTGAGAGGACGCCTGGAATCCCGGCACTCACTCGAGCACGTCGCGGTTGAACTGCTTCTTGCTGCTGCCCAGGAACTCGCCGATCATCTGGCGGCTGAGGCCCTTGCGCTGCAGCAGGAAGTGAGCCACGCCGATGGGGGTGTCGGGGATGAAGCCCCTGGAGATGAGGAACTGCACGCCTTTGTCCGGGTTTCTGGGAAGGGGGGAGGGGGGAGGTGAGCCAGGCGGCCTGGGCCTCCTGTGCGCCCCGGGAACCCCCTGGGAGCCCCGACACCTCACCTGGGGGGACAGAAGGCCCTCCTCCGTCCCCGCCTCCCATGCTCTGTCCCCCAGGACAGCCAAGGAGCCCCTTCCTCCCTGCCAGGACCCCAGCCCACCCCGGACACCCCAAGAGGCAGAGGGGGACGCGGTGGATCCAAGGGCCCCGTCCTGGCTCCCTTTGTCAGGGGTGAGTTTCGGGGGGCGTGGGGCCGGCTGTGTCTTGAGGCAATTTCAGGACACAGACGGGCAGCAACATTCAGAGCCTGGTAGAGCGCTGGGCAGGCGGCTCAGGGGTAGAGTGCTCGCCTAGCACGCACGAGGCCCTGGGTTCAATTCCTCAGCACCACACACACACACAGAAAAAACACAAGTGGTGCTGCGGCTCAAGAGATAGAGCGCCAGCCTAGAGCCAAAGAAGCTCATGGACAGCGCGCAGGCCCTGAGTTCAAGCCCCAGGACTGACAGAAAAAATTCAATTAATTAATTAATTTAAGAAGATTCTGGTAGAGCACTCTGCCCAGCATGTTAAGTGTGTGTGTGTGTGCCTGTCTGTCTCTGTTCTGAGGCTTGAACTCAGGGCCTGAGTGCTGTTCCTGAGTTTGTTGTTGTCGTTGTTTTCTGCTCAAAGCTGGTGCCTGAACCACAGCTCCACATCCAGCCCTTCCCCGGGGTCACTGGAGAGAGGTGTCGCAAAGACTTTCCTGTCTGGGCTGGCTTTGAATCAGGACACGTGGCAGATACGGTCAGACGGCCCTGGCTCCCAAGCCCTGCTGCCTGCTACCACTTTGAGCGGCTGCGGCGCACCAGACCTCTCTGAGCGCCCCGTCTGCTGGCCTGTAGAATGGGGGTGACGCCACCCATCTCTAGATACTGCTGGGAGGAGCTCAGGGACTCTGTGCCCGGTGGAGGAGGAACAGTAAAGTGTGCGTGTGGCTCACTCCCGACACCCCAGCTACTCAAGAGGCTGAGGACTGAGGATCACAGTTCAAAGCCAGCCCAGGGCAGGAAGGTCTGTGAGACTCTGATCTCCCATAAACCCCTAGAAAACTGGAAGTGGTGCTGTGGCTCAAGTGGTAGAGCACCAGCCTTGAGCTGAAGAGCTGAGGGACAGCGCCCAGGCCCAGAGTTCAAGCCCCACAAACAAAAAAATCTCCCATGGATTTGTCTGTACAGACTGGCCTCAGACCACGATCCTCTGATCTCAGCCTCCTACAGAAGCTAGCCCTGCCCCGGCCCCGGCCCCGGCCCCTCGCCCGGCGGGCCCTGCCCCGTTGCTCACATGTTGAAGAGGTTGAGGCCGATGCGGTAGAGGCGCTTGCGCAGCGTGTCGGTGGACAGCGTGGGGGACCGGCAGCTGGCCGGGTTCTCGCAGTGGTAGCGCGGCAGGCTCAGGATCATGGCCTGCAGGGCCTCCTTGGAGGC